GGTTACTGAAAAGACAAATGAAGAGGACATGAAGTTAGGCCTGGGGTGGGGAGATTGGAAGGAGACCTGAGACTAGCTGGGGGAGGCGTAAGGGGAGGGATGAAAGTGATCAAAATACACTGGATGGAATTCTCAGAGAACTAATAAAAATATTAAAGATAACTCTTAGATGACTCAGCAGTTAGGAGTGCTAGCTGCTCTTGCAGAGAATCCAGGTTCGAATCCCAGCACCCACATAGCAGCTAACAACTCTCTAAACTCCAGTTCCAGGGGACCTGACTCCCTCTTCTGTCCTCTGTGGGCATTGCGTGACACAGGAGCACTTACACACATGCAGGCAATACATATACACATAAAATAAAAATAAAGAAATAAAAATCTCCCTAAACTATGAGTTGAAAGGAACGTTTTTAGCCTGATAAATGGCCTTCTAAACCCCAGCAGCCACATTCTTACTGGAACATTCTCACTAAGGTGAGCATGATGTATGGGTTCTTACATCTCCCTCCCTCAGCATTGTACAAAGGTACCAGTCAGGTGGGAAGGTAAGAAGCAGTCCCTGGAGACAGACCAATAGAACTAAAAAGAGATGTCTTAATGTTTTCTGAGTATCAGGAAAGCATACGAAAATCAGTGATGTTTTTATACTCTGGCAGGAAGCAGTAAGAACATCTAATAGAAAAAAAGCTATTCATGATAGCAACACAACACAAATCAGGGTACACAGAACAGTGCTGTGGAGAAAATCATATTATGATATCAAAGGCTATCCAAGAAGATTCGAATCAATGGAAATAGTATTAGAGTCATTGACAGGATGACTCAAGTATTATTAACATGACAAAGTATTTTAAATGAATCTGTAAGTGCAATGTAGGTCTAATCAAACATTTTAAAAGTGCGTTTTTATGAGACTTAAAATGATATTAAACCAATTTTGGAATAGTAATGAGTCAAGAATAGCAAAGCAAATTTTGAAGAGTAAGGAAAGAAGGCTTGCTCTACCAGATATGGTGATGCATCTAAAGGAGAGAGATTAGAGCCTGGGGTCTTTTCCTGTACATCTGGGCTCCATTCGCAGTATTCTTCTCTCAAGCCAATATTCTCAGAGTTAGCCTCTCTCTTTCTCTCAAACTCTGCTTCTCACCAGTCAGGAAATCTTTCTGACTCAACGTATATTTCAGGGCCTAGAGAGATGGCTCAGTTAGTAAAATGCTTGCCAGGCAAGTATGAGGACCTAGTCCAGATCACCAGCACCCATGTAAGAGTCAGGTGTGGTGGTTCACACTGGGGAGGTGGAGGCTGGTAGATCCTGGAGCTCCTTGGCCCACCAGTCTAGACCAGTCGATGAGCTCCGGGTTCATTAAAGCCTCCCTGTGTAAATGCACATATCCAATCACAGGTACCCAGAACCAGATAGTGGAATGCTTATGGTATGCTTGAAGGCACTAAAATAAAGCATTGCTTCAAGGAGGAGTTTTGTTCTTCTAACAGTCTCTACCACACCTTCAGTCCCTCTCTGTAAATGTGGGCAGTGATCATACAGCAAGTCCCCAAGGTGTTAATTTCTGTCACACATGGCTCCTCAGGGGACTTTGCCCAGCTGGAGCCTGAGTATCCTCTCTATCAGTGGTTGTTTCTTACCCCCTATTAAATATAGGAGGTTAACTATCTTTTTACTTATAGTTTATGTTTTGCTTAATTTTTCTAAGAATGTGTTAAGTTTTATAGTCTATAGAATAGTGGATCCTCTTACCTGTGGAAGATGTTTTGAGACCCCCTCACGGCTGCCTGAAGCATATGTATGCACTCTTAGGCCTTTCTTTGGTGTGTCCAAATTCCTGGGACACTCACCAGGGCACACAAGGGTTACCTGGACACAGATGCTGTGGTGTTGCCACATTTCATCTGACAGCCAAGATGGCCAAGTCACTCAGAAGTGAGTGGCATAGACAGTGAAGATGTGCAGGGCAAAGGATGGTTCGTGTACTGGGTGTGAAAGAATCAAGTGGTGTGAAATCTACTACGCACAATGGGATACAACTTACAATTCAGTGATTGTTTCTGGAATTTTCCACTTAACACTTGTAGACCATGACTGTGCACAGGAAAGTGAAGCATAGATAGAAAGACCATGAGGATGGATAGTCTGAACAGCCAGGGGCCAACTGGAATTGCAGATGGTGGTCAGGGTGGGATGGCTCTTCAAAGCCTTTCACAGATACCTGCGCATGGATGTCCACAGTGCTGTGACATGCCTGGCAACCGTCATTGTTAGTCATGGTGCAATACAAAACTATTTTATTCATAGAACCCCACAGATGTGGGCCTCGGGATAGCTGTGTCTTCAGCTAGGCACAGCTCTTGATGAGTTAGGGGAACTGTTCAGCTTGCTTTTGCCTCCGTCTCCAGCCATGCCCCATCATCTTCCCTCAGCCTAGGGAATGCAGCAAAGCCAAAGTTAACGGTAACAGTGCCCCCTTTTGTCAGACAGGAGACACTTAATTTTAATAGAGGCTCAGTAAAATTTTTAAGATTTATCCTCTCTCTTTCTCTCCCCCCCCCCCCCTGTTTTGCCCACATGTACATAAGTACACCATGAGCCTAGTTCCCTTGGAGCCCAGAAGAAGTTGTTAGATCCCCTGGAACTGGAGTTACTGATGGTTGCTAGCTGCCTTGTGGGTGCTGGGAACCGAACCTAGGTCTTCTGCAAGAGCAACCAGTGCTCTAACCACTGAGCAATCTCTCCAGCCCCCATGTAAATCTTTATACTTACTGGCAGCAAATAATTCACTTGGCAGCAGAACAGATAGTCTCAGAATGGTCAGCTCAACTAGTGTACACATATATGCCGTTTCACACGTCTCACTCTAGTTTTAAATGTTTGGTTTTTTTATTTTTAAAGAAATAGGAATTTCAGGGGAAAAAAGGTTTTTGGAGAACAGAGTTTCTCTTTGTAGCCCAGGCTGGTCTCTAGCTTGTGGTGACCCTGCTGCCTCAGCCTCCTGTATGTTGGAAAAATAAAATACATCTCACATTCTCACCACTTCAATAACACTGTAGTTAGAACTCCAGTATATTTCTCTCCAGTCTATTTTGGTATGAATATTTCTTTATAGCTATAATAAAAACATGCATATAATTGTGTTTTTCCTTTTTAATTTAGCCATAGATAATTATGATATAATCATATACAGATTTGCATGTTACGCTATCAACACAATGGTAATTTTTACTGCACTGAATTTCATTATTTTAATCTATCATAGTTGAAAGCTATTAGCCTATTTTGGGGTAGATTTCTGCTCATATTTTAGCAAGTAGAGTATTTTTGTATAGTGTGGAACTTTCTGTGCATCATATTTTTCATATTGTGTTGTTCTGAATTTCTAAGAAGTAGAATATTAACAAAGGTCACAAATATCCACAAACTAATTGTCCTTGTAACCTGCTATGAAATCTAGCAGGTGTAGGGGTCTTGGTAGTCAGAGGTATGTTCAGTTTTCCAACTCCTGTTCTACCAAAAGCTTAGTTATCATGAATTAATAAAGCCACGTGAAACTTGAGAGAGAGAGAGAGAGAGAGAGAGAGAGAGAGAGAGAGAGAGCCTGTCTTTGTGTCTGTCTTGAAATGGGCCAGAGAATAGTAGGTGTAATGGTTCATTTTTTGAGAGAGAGAGAGAGAGAGAGAGAGAGAGAGAGAGAGAGAGAGCGAGCCTGTCTTTGTGTCTGTCTTGAAATGGGCCAGAGAATAGTAGGTGTCATGGTTCAGAAGCTCCTGGTAGAATATGGAGCTCCTTTATTTGGAGCAATGTGGGCTTTGTGATGTGTGCACGTGTGGTTTGGAGAGACACGTCTTGGTTCTCATCAGCTGGACAAAGGGATCCAGTAACTACTAGTACAAACATGGTGCGTGCCAATTGGACAGAAAGCAATGCTTGTGAGTTTACTGTTGTTTGTTTCCTTAGGTGTGTCTGCTCCACACCCCCTTCACTCGTTATGTTTGATAATAGAATTCACAAAGATTGACTTTTGGGTGGGCGGTGTTTTAGCAAACTTATTGTGACTTCATTTTTCAAAAAGCTGAATGCATGTGAAATTGCTCATTGGAAATAACTGCCTCAAATCCTTATTGATCTTGCTAGTTTTCCCATTCTGATCAGCAACTTAGCCTTACACTTTGTTAAAATGATCAGGAAGCTGATCATTACATAATTTTCTATTAATTTATGAATGAAGTATGAAAATATTTGTCAAATAGTTACCCTGTTGGCGTGTTATTGGGAAAAGCGGACACATGCTAACTCTGCCTAAGCTCTTTCCATGATTTTGGGCTTTCTGTTTTCTTTGAGGCAGGGTCTCACCATATCTTCCTGACTGCTCTGGAATTGCTGTATAAACCAGGCTGGCAGAGATCTTCCTGCATCTGCCTCTCCAGTGCCACCAACCATGCCTTGCAACTTTCCATATTTTGTACAGTGAGAATAAACAGATGTTACATGCAAATAGCTTTAAATTATTTAAGACATTTTTATTTTTTATTCTCTCTCTCTCTCTCTCTCTCTCTCTCTCTCTCTCTCTCTCTCTCACATGCCATGATGCATGTAGAGGTCAGGATGGCTTTCCAGAGTGGGCTGTCTCCTTCTAGCCATTGAGACAGTCTCTGGTCATTTCTGCTGGCTGCAGGTGCTCCAGGGTGATTTTCTTGTACCTGCTTCCCATTTTGACACAGGAGTGTTGGGGTTACACATGCAAGCCACCTCATTTGGCTTTCTGTGGGTCCAGAGATGGACCTCCAGTTATCAGCCTTGGGTGGCAAGGAGTGTTACCTGCTGAGCCATATTGCTGGCCTTAAGTTATTTTTAAATGTTAACAAATTTGCTTTACAAGACAAAGTCCCAGTCATTTTTTATTATCGGATGTTTTAGTCAATGGACATCGCCATGCATAGTGACCACATTGTCTTGGACAAGTGATCTATCAGTATTTTGTTTTCTGCAGGAATGGGCTGCTTCTGGGGAGCTGAGAGGAAGTTCTGGCTCTTGAAAGGCGTGTATTCAACCCAAGTGGGCTTTGCAGGCGGCTACACACGCAATCCTACCTACAAAGAAGTCTGCTCAGGTAGGGAGCATTTGTTCTATCATTGGAGAAACAAGGGAGGACCTGCCCCTGCTGACGGGCGACAGGATCTTTAAAATGAAAATACATTAAGATGCATCTTCACCTGGTCTTCTCTTACCATTTCTGTAAATATGTTTCCATGCTTTTCACTTTATGCCTTTAGAGAATAATGCACTTCCTGCACCATGTGTCATTTAGCTGTTGCTACAGGACAGCCATGTAACACTCAGTGACTTAAAATTGTGCTTTTACCTGAGCAAATAAGGATGGGCATGGCGTGGTGGTTCTTCTGCTGGGTTCCCCTGGACCCTCTCATGGGGCTATGGTCACCTGGTGGAATATTTAAGGACTATCTGGTTTGTCAGTACCGGCTGCTGGTCATCGCTCACTGGTGGCTGGAGAAATGGGGATGTCCCACACAGGCGTGGGCTAATTCCAAATGGTGGTGCATGTAGGAGCCCAGAAACAGCAAGAGGATGAGACCTGCTTTCTCTGTACCATCTCTACTATTGCCCCACTGGCCAAACAGGATCATACAGTCAAACATAAAGGCAGCGTGGAGCTCTTTTCCCCAGATGGACACAGGAACGTGTGACGAAACAAGATCATTGTGCTACAATGGTCCCCTCACAGCTCAAGCATCTCAGCCATCAAACATGTCTTTCTGGAGGGAACGATGAGAAGCCAGGCTTCTCAGGGTTCTGCCAGTTGTTACCCATCAGCCAAGTTCTGCTCCCTGCCTGGTTGTAGAGTTTTGATAAGTGAGAGCTGTGCCCATTTTTTTTTCTATGTAGTATCAATTAACACAGCCCTGCCCCAACAGCAAGGCTGTGTGGTCACAACAGAGGCTGTATAGACAGCAAAGCCTGAAGCATTTACTGTCTAGATAGACTTTTACAGAAAATGGTGCTGACTGGTACTCTGGGCAGAACACAAGAAGATGGTCTGTGGCAGATTCTAACTGAATGCCAGATTCCTGCATGGATTGGCTTCTGGCTCTGAGAGCCCTCTTGTTTTCCTGTCACCTGAGGACTATGTAAGACTCATCCTTTTAAAACAGGATATTTTGTTAACTATCTTAAAATGTCTTAACTATGAGGGTCTATGAAGACTTGTAATCTACTGTTGATACAAATGCTACTTAAAAATATAGCTGGAGCCTAGCATGATGGCACATACCTTTGATCCCAGGATTGAGGAGGCAGAAGCAGGTGGGTCCCTGTGAGTTTGAGGCCAGCCTGGTCTCCATAGTAAGTTTGAGGCCAACCTGGTCTACATAGTGAGTTCCAGGCTACCCAGGGTTACATAGTCAGACTCTGTCTCAAAAACAAAAACAAATGTATAAAAACAACAAGAACAAAATAGCTGGGCCTAGTGGCAGAGGCCTGTATGTCCAAGAGACTGTTACGCTCTGCCTGGACCAGAGTGAATTCAAGGCCCGCTAAGGTAACTTAACAAGACCTTGTCTTGAAATAAAAAAGGAAAAAGAAGTCTGGGCTACAGTTCAGTGGTAGGGGCTTGCCTAGTACATGCAAGGCCCCCTGCTCCATCTCTAGTACCACATACATAAGTAAGTAAATAAACTAACGTATTAAATATATGAACATATTTATCTTTTAAAGATAAAGACTTGAGGATTGGGCCTGGTGATGCATGCCTAGAGTTCCAGTCCTTGGGAGGTGGAGGTGGATCATGAATTCAAGGCCAGCTTGGGTTATACAGGTTTAAAAAGCCTGGAGTTCATAATGCGACCCCGTCACAGACAAGTAAATGAGCAAACAAATTTTTTTTAAATGAAGATCAGAAGAAAAAGGGGCTTAAGGGGGTTATTCACGGAAGAGCCTCCAGGAGACATGGATCCTGAGGGGTCGGGGAGAGACTTTGTTGGAAAATAGTCATGTTGATTCTTCTGCTAAAGCATGAGTTTGCTTTTGAACTTTCACTGTGCAACAATGAAGGTACTATAAAAATGTGAATTCTCATTTTCCCTGCTACCAGAGAAGAGCTGAACTACTCCAGCATTAGGAATGTGATAAAACACCTCAGTGGTTTATATATATTTTGCTTCTGTTTCAAAATTAATCAAATGCTTATGCAGTGCATGAAGTAGTGAGACTCCATGGTTCCTGGAGATCACCCGGGTGTCTCCTCTCAAGCCATAGTAATGGAAATGAGATTTCTGCCTATAATTCCAGACATGGGCTTAGGAGGAAAGGTTGCTAAGCAAACACCTAGGGGCTGGGAACATGGCTCAGTGGATAAAGGTGCTTGACCCCAGCAAGCCAGATGATTTGAGTTCAAATCCCTAGAACCTACATAAAAGCTGCCCTCAGTAACATTCAAGTGTCTGTAATAGCAGAGCCCCCAGCAGGACGTGGGAGATGGAGACAGAAGAGTTGATGGAGGCTGCTGGCTCAGCTAGCCTGGTTTACAAACTGGCAAAAAGCCCCATCTCGAACAAGGTGAAAAGGCAAGGGCCAGCCCTCTACACATGTGCTATGGCATGCCTACATCCACACCCACACACAGAGCATGCACACACACATCACTTACACACATGCCCACCCCAACAAATAAAAATGAAACAGAAAATCCCAAATACCTTTTCTCCGTACTGTTAATCTCAGCCCAGAAAGGGCACTAGCGAGTCCTAATTCTGTGATCATTTGTGCATGTAGCCATAGACCCTTTCTGTCTGCTTGTGCCTTAATGACGATATAATTAGCACACGTTGAGCACCTCTGTTTGCCAAACACTATAGATAGTACTTTTTATGTCTTTGCTTTTCTCCCCAAGTAGTCTTACGTGACATATCAGTCTCAATCTTTTACAGAGACACTGGAACCTCAGCAGTCCTCTGTCACTCACCCAGGGCCCCCATAGCATGAATCCCATTTCACCAGTTCTCCACTCAAAGCTTATGCCATTGACCTTGGTGTGAGTCTTCCAGCAGCGGCCACAGCCCAGCTGTCCTCCATTCACCCATTCATACTTACTTCCTCTTTCAGGTCTATCCTTTGGCTAAACTTCAAAGTATATTGCTGTGCTTTTAAATGACTCCCGTGTGGGAAGCACTGAGGGATTTGTTGTATCTTATACCTGTCTGGAAAGGAAAAAAAAAGGTCCAAACACTGTAAGATACAATTCCTGCAAACATCTAGTGTCAGAGTCATTTGTAATGGGTAAAGATGGGAACCACTGGGGTTAAGAGAGCTGTGCATTTCATCCCAACATGCCTTTCAACTTAGGGGTACCACAGAAGATGTGATTCCTGACTTTAAAGAAGATGGGTCCTATACAGACCCAGAAGGAAAGGTGGATTCTTGACCTGGGATTTTTGTTGTTGTTATTGTTCTTATAAGAGGTGAACCCCAAAATGAAGAGCCAGGCTGGTATAAGGGGTGCTCCTTGCCTGGGAGGAACAGAGCCCTCCAATTTCTGGAAGTACTGAGGCAAACAAACGTGGTGCTCAGCTACAGCGAAAACGCGAAGAAGCCAGTTAAAGACTCCTGACTGAGGAGAAGCAGGACGGGACAGCACAGGTCGCACTGTCCAGACTCCCCTCCAGAGCCCCTGAACTGCTCCCAGTCTGGCTGGAACACGTCATCCTGGAGAAGTTAGACTGGATAGGAAAAGCAAACAGAAAAGGAGTCCAAAGCTCTCCTAAGAGTCATAATGGCCGAGGTTCAGAGCGAGACAGTTAGCACCAACTTCAAAGTTGCTTGCTCATGATCGTAGTTAAGTCTGAAACCGATCACAGACAGCCATGACTGTTGTGTGAAGGATTTTGCTGATGGAGCATGTTCAAACTCCTCTAGTCCTATGCAATGTTTTTGAAATGAAGGCACCATTTGGTTCTTGGGCCAGATGCCAGGACTGCAGGGAGGGGGTTATCCAAAAGCCGAGCCCATGGGGCCAGAGCACACGGTTCTGCCCTTCTTCAGTCCATCCAACACAATGCCAAGGTCAGTGCTTCCACACACCATGTTGCCATACACAGATCAGGAATCCCTAGCCCCAGAGCGAGAGCCTCCACCTTGTCTTGTCAACTTGCCTTTGGGAACGAAGCTTCAGCATGGGACACGTGGAGAGGATGCATCTTTCTGTCTGCGAGATGGTGGTCAGTGACTGAGTCCCGAGCCTGAGTTCTGCTTAGGCACATAGAAAAGAAACAGGGCTTCTGCTAACAGCTTCTGTGACCCAGCAGTGACACACAGGTAGAGTTGACTGTGGTATTCTGGTTGTTTGAATGAAAATGTACCACATAAGCTCAGGGGTTTGAATACTTGGACCCCATTTGGTTTCACTGTTTGGGGAGGTTGTGGTGGGTCCTTGCAGGAGGGATGCCGCTGTGAGAGAACACCATGACCAGAAGCGACCTGCAGAAGAAAGACTTTATTTTGGCTCATGCTTCCAGAGGGATAAGAATCCATCGTATTAGAGAGTCATGGCTGAAAGAGGCAGGCATGGCAGCAGGAGCAGGAAGCTGAGGGTGCCTATCTCCATCTACACCAGGAAGTAAGATAGTGAGCTGGAAATGGCACAGCTAGGCTCTCAAAGCCTCCAGCGGTGAACTTCCTCTAGCCAGGCTGTCCCTCCCCAAATTCTACAACCTTCCCAATCAGTGTCACCAACTGGGAACAAATATTCAAATACCCGAGCCTACGGGGGACATTTCTCATTCAAACTACCACAGGCCTCCAAGCAGGACTCTTAGTAATGTACTCAGCGATGGGACTGGGGCGTGCCGGGCCATCCCCATCCCAGCACATGACTTGAACCTTATGCTGTATAGGTACAGGGTGCTGAGAGTTCCTTGTTTCCCAAAACATAGTCCCTTGGGAAAGAAAGAAAAAGATGCCCATGCTGAGTCAGGATAGCGGCTGTCTTTTGAGGGGAAAGATTGGCTTTAGACCTTCAGGACTCAGACCAGATGATGGCCAGTCTTGACTGTGTAAGCGGAAGCTCAGGACCCTAGCAAGAGGTTGGTGAGCTTGTGA